AGCAAAAAAGACAATTATTTTTTCATTTGTAGCTTAAAAAGTGGAGAACATCTGCTTTTTACACACTTCATAAATTGGTTTATCAACTACTTCTGGTGTGTGAGTATTGAAAGAGAGTGAAGTTATAAGAATTTTTCCACCTTTTTATTGTGGCCTTACAGTTGCACTGCTGTAACAAAAAGCTGTGAACTGCACTAGCAGGCAAGAAAAAAGATTTGGAACTATGATCCCTTCGATCTGCCATATCCTCAGACAAAATATTAGGTAATATATTATGAGAAGATTTCAATAGAGAGGTTGATAGATTCGGAAATAACAACATGATGTGACAGAACACGTATTATAGGGAAATGGAGGGGGGGAAAAGGAGGGGTGAAAGGAAAAGCAAGGAAAATTTGCAGAGACAATCTCTGCATGTGCTTCAAGTTTACCACATATGAGCTTTATCTGACCCATGTAATTCGTCAATGCTGTGCTGACCTGAAACTAATAAATGCCTGCTTGTTAGCTCTGGATTAAAATACTATACTATACTATAGCATCCTACAACTCTTAAGTTCACCACGTGCTTCCTGAGTGAGTATCTCTATTTAAAATTTAGGTTATTAAAACTTGCTTGTATTTCTCATATCAAACAAATGAACAGGTCACCTCAGTGGTGAACAGACAATGCTTCTGGAAAAGAAAACACTTCTTTAAAAAAAAAACACCATTAAAATAGTGAGATATTTAGTTTCCTGTAAAATGATCAGATTATAGTCAAAGTATATTTTTTTCTTTTTTTTTAACATTTGGTTGTAATGTTTCAATGTTGATCTCCTATGGCAATCAAAACATTCAAGTCAGTGACTCGACTGTATGCTGAACGGGGAGATACAACTTTTTACTGACATCCTTTCTTCTCATTACACAGGAAGGGAGAAGGAAGGCAACCTGCAACATGCTTTATATGATTGGCAATATCCCAGTTAATTCCATCTAACCCTTCCTTTTGAAATCAATTTATCTTAGTTTATGTCAGGATAAGGAATGCAAGAGTTGATCTCCAAAAATTTACAATATGTTGCAAGAGATTTTAGCACTGGAGTGGGGATAAATCCTGGAACATAAAAAGAGAAAGAGAAAAGATTTAAAGGCAGGCAGGCACGTAGCTTTATGCTAAGGGAAAAAGCCCCCCCTGTGCATCACACTCAGGAGATTCAACTGGTCTTTTGTCTGCTGTTGTAGGTCTTCCCTTGAGTGTCCTTTTAAAACTGTTTTGAAGATAGAAAGCACTGGATTATAAATATTTTTAGATAAATTCAACCAAAAAATAATGTTTCGAATGCATGCAGCTAGCTTGGCTGCATTTCTAGATGCATCACAGCAAGTACTCCAGCCCTTCACACGCCAGCTGCGCAGCAGCACCCTACTGACCCTCCCAAAAGATCGCGCGCTCACTTCATTACCTAACTGCCTGATGACTGAAGAATTTGCTTCTCTGTGTGGTTTAGAAAGAGGAATTTTACACAGAAAGAGAGGGTTTTTTACACGGCATCTGCTACAGAATCCTGAAAGCGGTCAAATCCACGCGGTATAAAGCATGGCAAACGTGAGTGACTCTTGATGGCCCATTGAAAGTGTAACCCCCTCCATGGCTTTTTGTTTGTTTTCCCACAAACAGGGGTGTTACAGGTATGTACTAGAAACATTTCCTCTTTAAGAAGGTGCAGTGTATCCTCACTAGCATTGCCCATTTCACACTTTCTTTCATTCAGATGACTGCCATATGGGCCTCCTGATTTATTTCACCTGAGCTTCTTGAGCTGTTCCAAAATTCCTCCTTAGAGACTCTGATTTCTGTTAAGGACACACGTTGATCTTCTGTGAGATGGAACATGGAATAAGAATTTGAAAGTCCTTTCCCCAGGTAAAAACTGCTATAAACATCAATTTAACTTCCCTGCTGCTTTACTTTTTAATTATTATTGCTTCTTGTAAGTCACAAGGCCTAGAGACTCACTGACGGCACAGTTACTTCCAGTGCATTTAAAACAGCCTTAAATAATGTATTCTTTAGTCTGTTTGCTATGCCTTTGGCTTCTCGTCGACAGATGAAAAGAATTATACAAAAGTTAGGTGATATCGTGGTTATTGCAGCAATTAAAAAATGCGTAGTCTGTCACACGAGTATTTTCTTTCTCTTTTGCATTGCTCTATCTGTGCTACAATTAGGAACAAACTGATTTTCACACACAGAGAAAGAAAAACTCTTATGAAAACCCCCATGAACTCAAAGCAGCATAGAAATTTAAAGAAAGATACCCCTTTTAAACCAAGTAAGAAAACCAGGCTAAAGGTTTACTGACAGCCAGTCAAATAAAAGGTGTCGTATTCAGAGTTGTCTTCTCCCACTCTATCATTGACAGCTGCTTAAACAATCCATTTTGATTTTAATGTATTTATTCCTATTCTATCTGCTAAATGGATCTAACAATCCTTTGCATTTCTACAACTGCTTACGTATCTTACAGTGTGTGTGTCAGAACTTCATCTACAGGGGATGTAAATAGGCGTATAAATGCTGTGACTTTCCCTGAAGCCTGGTTGAGTAAAGATCTGTGTATCTCACACTCAGAATACTAACTCTTCACAGGCATACAGCTAAATCATTATACCAACTGTGTTTTCCCTCTGGCAAACTGACACAAGTAAGATTTCCTTATGCTAAACTTACCGAAATGCAAAAAAATCAGTCAATTAATGGTCAAAAAGAAAAAGTGGGAGAACAGCTGTAATTCCTGATTTTCAGTTCTACACTCATTCCCTTAGAGACAGATTCACTTTTTTCTCCATCTTATGTATCCTCATCAGGATGAGTTTTTATCAGTGTAAATGAACTCGCTGGACTGAGTTACTTTCCACAGGATGACGTTCTGTACTTGCACACTTCCAAAGTGTAGAAAGACAAGTCTGTAAAATGAACTACAACTGGGTCGAGTATGAGTTTTCAAAGGCATATACCCATCAAATCCAAACAAAACTCATGGATACATTCAGAATAATTTTTTTGAAAAACAGTGAGCTCCTTGCCCAATTTCAGCTTCCGTTCTTGAGCCCTTTCAGCTGCAGAGCTGATCAAAACAAGGTCACAATGATATCCTCCTTTAATGAAAAAAAAAAAAAGTACCTTTTCATTTCTCTTTTCTGGGAAACAGGTGAATTGTTTTTGTTCAAACATTCAACATTTTAACAAAGCCACCTTTGAAAGCAACCCTGGAAAAGTGCAGGCCTAATAGGTTTACGGTTCAAACAGTTCCAAGTTACTGGAAACAGGAGGTCAGAATCAAAAAAAACTTTCAGACAATGTTCAACGCATCAGTGAGAATCTTAAGCCACACGGAGACAACAGAAGTGCTCCAACACTTGCTCGTTACTTTTTGTGGGGAAGTAAAAAAAGAAGAAGAAAAAAACTGTCTCATAAATTCACAGTGCTGGAATAAAGAGCCCTTCCACCTCTAACTATGTAGACAAGAGACACACAGCAGTCCCTGACAGGGAGGCCTAGGTTTAAAAAAAAAATAAAAATAAAAAAAATGGAAAGCCCCCACCAAGTCTGGAGAACTGCTCCTCCCTCCGCTTGGCTCCAGGGCAGCTACAACCACGTGCTCCTCACTCAGTCAAGCCCAGACAGTTTCTAACCCTGAAGTGTTTAGATTCAAACCTTCTTACGACAGACTGCTCCGGGAACCTGAGACAGAAGGGTTTTTGTATTATTGCTATAACAAAAAACTAGCATCAACATCAAAAATCTTCACCACAGTACAGGTTTTACTGTGGTTTTCTAAGTGTGGAAACCCAAAATCAAGTGTTTAGTAATTCACTGAAAAGTAAGTGATCTACAGAGATCATGTTGGTAAACTGAGAATAATAGACCATGTACGCTTTCAGATGTCAACTTCCGTGCAAGAGGAAAATCAGAGAGCAGTTTAAACAAATCTTAACATGCCTTTCATGCCCAGAAATGTGATTCCTCTTACAAATGCCTTAGGCATCAACATCGTAACACTTTCCTCTTGTGTCCAGGCTCCTTCCATTTTATTCTATTCTTTTACCAAAATACCCCAGGTATTTTTATCTTTTTTTCACCTCTTAACACAGTAAATCACTTTTCAGAACGCTGCAAAACCTCCATAACAAGGGCAAACAAGTTATGGGATCCATTTTTTCATGTCTTAAATAGCATTCTTAAAAATAAACTGAAGGGAAGATAGATATTTGTTATTTCTCTGAAAACAGACTTACCATTAATCTAAAAAACTGGTAGTAGTGATGATGAATGGAACATTTCACTTTCACTTCTGAGGATTCTAGTGTTAAAAGCACTTATGAACTAAGCCTCGGACAGTATAGATATCTATCACACTTGGTTGAGGAAGAAAGAGAAACACACAAATCTTTTGTCATTTGCTGATGTTACAAAGGAGCCCAAGGAATCTGATGCCAGACCTTTGCTCCTGTAGCTTGCTTGTAGTTTTTCATATTGTAGGCTGCAGAACAAATCTTGTTCTTCCAATACTGAAATACAGGTCAAACTCTTTGATGGTGCTCAAAATCCATCAAAATAAATGTGATCACAGCTCATACAGAGATTATATCCACAGTATGAAACTCTTAGCAAGGCCTAAAGGGTGGTAGGTAATCAAATTCTTAATCAAAAAAAAAAGACAAACTAAGTTCAAGAGCTGGTTGAAACACTAACAAGGATCCTTACTGGTAATGAAACAGAGCATCTCCAAGAGCATTTGTAAGTCAAGCTTCACAAACATACTGATCTCTGCCAACAGATTATAGTTTGCTTTTTTCCACTAACTGTCCAAAACAATTCAAACAGGCCAGTAAAACCAGGATTATGACAACTAGCTTCAGTTAAGTTTTTCTTCACTTAAACACTGCAACCTCATTTTGAATATACCAGTAAAAACCAGATTTGCATGTGGTAGATTTGTAACTGAACCTACCTTTGCTTTCAGATCAGCACAAACCTCCTGTTGCTTTTGTCTGGTACGAGCCAGTGCTGCTTCTGTCTCGTGTGCAGCAGAAGCTTCTGCAACGGTCGCTGTTGCCTTAAGCAAAAAGGCTTTCCCAGCTTCAGCCCAGTTTAACAGCAAGACTCTGCGCTGATTCATGACGAAACGGTAACGATCCCAAGCTTTCTCATGAACAACCTAAAAAAGTAAAGCATTTCAGAAAGGCTTAAAAACTATGCATTAATAAAACAATTCAAGACATTTTTGCAAACCTCAAATATAATTGTATCACACATATTCCTACAAGAATCCACAATTTAGGGCCCTGTCAGGTGCCAGGTGCACTGCAGTCTCCCAGTGTCCATAAGTGGTGATACCACTCCAGCCTTTCCATTTGCCTGTACCACATGGCACTTAATATCCTGATGTCCCACAGTTCTTTTCTGAACTGGGCTTTTGCAGTATGAATAAACTAAATGCAATGGTTCCTTCCTGCCCTAAAGTACCTAAAATGCAAGTAGTCTTTCATACATCCTCAGAGATAGTGAGCACTTTTACTACGATGAGGCTCTTTGTAGCAAATTATGCTCTATAGAGAAAGAGAACACCAATTAAAGCAATTGTACAAATGCAGTACAGATGAGAATTACCTTCACTTTTTCTTTCCTAACAGGAAATTTGGAAATAAATTTTTAGCTTGCCAAGCAGCTCACTGCCACCACCAATGTCACCACCTAACAAAAATGGTGTGTATTCAATCTTAAATACATCTTCTTTGACCTTATTCAGTGAGGTTCCCAAGGACATTCAAACTGCAAGACTCTAACACAAGCGGTTAACAGGTAAGGCTGCACAGACTGAGGCAGTAGATTCTTGGATCTGTCTTATGTCCCCAAAAATACAAATTACAGGGATGAAGAAGCTTCTAGAGATGGCTGTTCACAAGTGTCAAGGGAAGCATTCCCGATGCCAACTCCCAGGCTTTTGACAGGGGCATGCTGACTCATCCGGTGCCTAGCTCACAGATACTCCTATCAGCTCAGAGCTGGGTGAAGATAAACTGGCACCACTACCTCTGGAGCCCCTCTTTGCTCAAACGCACAGAGGCCACTGCATCAGAAGTCCACCACGCAGTTTGCCATTGCTGCTGCCACAAGCTCAGGTGAGCCATGCTGGCAGGTACCTGAAGCTAAGACACTCAGAAGCAAGAAATGGGATGGAGAGTTTGCATTTCTAAAACCAGATCTCTCTGATGAGCTGCTGTAGGATCAAGCACTCAGTGCTTGTCCACTGATCTGTTCTTCTCCAGAGGTATGAAGGCACAGAGGGCTCTAAGTTTAGGATGCTAATGTAACACAAACATTTTAAGAATAGATTCTTAGGACTGTTTTAACACTTCTGCATTTGCCGTGCTAATACACATACTAAGAAATATCAATTTAACGCAGAATTATGATTTTTAAATTTAGGATTTTTTAATTTTAAATGAATCTTCGAAGAATTAGGAAGACCCATTAATAATGGCTGTGCTTAAAATAGACATACATTGTACAAAGCACGTAATTACTTAGCCCAGTTCTCACAGGCAAAAGTTCTGAAATCCACAAGAACTTTATTTTTGGTGAAACTATGCTAATTATCAGTATCACTTCACAGTCACTCCTTTGCACTAGGCACTCCTCAAACACAAGGAAGTAGATGGTCTAAAAATACATGCAGAGATAAAAAAAGACTCCTACTTTACTTAGGACATCCTGAAGTGTTCTGGCCTTGAAGTGGGTTTCTCTATTAGCTGCTATGTGCTCGTTCACTGTGCAGCATAAAAGGAATCAGCAATCAATTTGAAAGGCATTATGCATATAAAAATAGCCTCTCCCTGGGAGCAGAAGATAACTTTCCACTCTTCCTGCTATATATGTGCCACAGACCAATTAAAATAACTTCTTAGACAATTCAACAATGCTATACATCCTCATAAAAAATAAAAATACCAAGAGAAGCAGAATAGCATGACATAACTATAAAACTCTACTGCAAAAGCAACGCTAACAAACTAATTTTGTGAATTTGGCTGTAAGAGTATGTGGAACTATAAAATCTCCACAGTGCTTATTTTGAAGAAGTGATAGGTTTTCAAGTTCATGCATTTTGAAGACAGAGACACCTGTGCAGAATAAAATTTATAATTAAGAAACGTTAAAATAAAAGACTTTGATAAACATTCTTTAATACAAAATCATTATGTGATTTATGTAAGAAAGTATACAGTTGATCTAATATTTAAACCAACACTGACCAGATCATGCCTAGATTTATGAGGAAGGTATCTCTGCAGCACATCCAGGTACAAAGTCCTCCTCCTCTGAAGATCACTTGGATACTGATTGATAACAGTCTGAAAAACCCACTGATCATCTTCCTTCCATTCAAGGTTCCTACAGAAAAGCAAAACAATCAGCCCCAGTACAACTTAACATTTGAAAAGGAGTTTGGTTCTAGTTTATTTTTAAAGGCCTAAACTTTCAGTGGGCTCACAATCCTGACCCTGGAAACTGGGTGTTGGATCAGAGCTAGGAAATTTACATTTACTTTAATGAAACAAAGCAAACCTATATTGCTTTTCTAAAGTGACCATTTATTGTGCCATCATTCGAATGAATCATCCATTTTCTAAATTAGCTTTTTATTGAGGAAGGATACTGTGTTTCTCAAATATGTTACGTTCATGAACAGTCACACCACACAGAAAACACAACATGAAAAAGGAAGACGATGATCAGTCTCTACCACTGAGCACTAAATAAACGATCAAAATGAAATTAATGAAGTGGTTAATACTTGTATGTAGCTAAACAAGGAACTAGTTTAAAAACAAACCTCTGACAGCCATAAACTCACTAGCAAGGCATCGAATTAACAATTTTTTAAAATAGGAGGTGTAGTAATCGGTATGCATTCATGTATTTTGGAAAATCAGAGTAGCCAGAAGTAACACAAAACTAAAACAGAGTACCACAGACTCGGAACTAGTAGATTATATTTTACCCTCCATCTGAACTCTTGCCCTTGAAGGGATTAACGTCAGGCTTTTATTGCCAGCATTAATGTACGAGCAGCAACACTGCGCCAGGCCAAAAGGTCTCTATCCCAGTGACCTGTTTTCCAAAGTGACTAAAAGCCTAAGGAAAAATGAAAAGGTGGCAATCACATGACTGCCCTCCACCAAAGTCCTGCAGCCTCAAACGGTTTGCAGCTCTCGGACCTCCCGAGCCAGCAGCGGTGCCCTGGTATTTAACAGCACTGCAGTCGGTACCATGCTACACCTTCATCCTTTCGCAGGCAGAAATATCAGGTATTTAAAAAAGAGGATTTTTGGTGAGATGCTTCTATGTAATTAATATTAACCTAGATTTTATGATATGATCCGGCATTATCTCTAAAGAGAGAACAGTGACCACAAGTACTAAAAAAATTCTACGTAATCCAGTTTAGCACAACTCTTCTTTAAAAAACATTGTACAGTAAAACCACAGCGTATTATCACCATTGCACAATATTCTGGGACACCAAAGGAAGGAACAAGAAAACACCCCTAGACCTGTTAGTTTTAAAAATTGGAAAGTTTCACCTACAGAAATATCTCAGGAATGCAAAGACACAATATCTTGTTTCGACAAACCGTTTTCAAGTAATATCCTGTCGGGCAATGGAATCCAATCTCTCGATGACATGGATTTCACCTTTTTCCTCTCTACTGGCACTTTCTGCTGGTGCATGCTTTGCCGTGAAGTTGGCACAAATTCAGACAGAGGTCCACTTATCTTCACCTACCTAAAGGCGTTTATTTTTTGGTTTTCTTCAGGCAGACTGATGGGCTTTATTTTTACCCTTATGATCTTAAAGGGGATTTAACCTTCACCCGTCTTTCTGGAAACAGCTTGTGATCAGAGGTTCTTTCCTCCCCGCTTCAATTCTTCATCCTCTGACTTTTATGAACGAAAAATGATTCTTAACTTACTCTAACATTTTCAGCACAGAATCATTATTCCAGGATCAGAATGGTGGCAACTTAATGATAACCAAGTGTGAGGAAACATTAAAATTACTATTCCCTAGTAATTAACACCTTGTTTTTTGCACTCTATGTGTCCTTTTTCTGTATTTTGTTTTTATTCGAATAAATATTAAGTTTCTCTCATCTTCTATGCAGACAGCATCATAATGAAGATTGCCAGATAAGGAGAAATCACATCCTACCTCCTTCAATAAACTCCAATAACATTATCATGGCCATTAGTGCTACAAACACACAAAACCAGAGAGTCCTACAGAAATACCGTTTGTATTTGTATTGTATACAGAGAGATTCCAGTCATGAAAAGGTATTTTTCAGGAAAACATGAAGCAGTAACTCTTGCTGGCCCCCTGTCCTATCTGTTTATCAACGGAGCAAAATGAAAGCGACACACAGAAAACGAACCTTAGGAAGGACTGAGTGCCCACAGGTAGCAGCATCAGCCACAGGATGAAGAGCACACATTGACACTTCAGTCTCTGATACTGCTCCAGATTTGGGACTAGGAATACTGCAGTAATAACTCGGACTTGGAGACTCATTGGCAGACTAGATTTAAAGTTATGGAAGGAGACAGCTTTCCCTCTACAAGCTTACGTGAGATAGATATCTATTATTCATACCTTCCACCTATTTTCCTTTCTCTTGTAAACCGTGTGAAATATCTGACAAACTGTTTCTAGGACCCAGCTGTTTGCTATTAAATCCAGCCATCAAGAAAAGAAATGGAGGTGGTTTCTAAACAGGGTGAGAAAGGGTCTACCTCCTGTAAAAAGTTTATTTGCAGCAATTGGCAACTACCAAGCAAACGTTGGAGACAAGATAAAAAGTGAAGTTACATTAGCCAAAGCAGAGCAGCAACGAAAATGTTTCTTTATAGGTGATTGCTCAAATTTCCCATGACAGACAATGAACACAGATGTCTGAGCTGGTTTTCTCATACACTGAGCCTGAAGAAGAAATAGTGCCCTGGGAAGCGAAACGGGGCTAAGGAATCCTCCAACAGGGAACGGTTGCAGTGATCCCTTATAACCTTCAAGCTGCAGGTCCTGAACCGCAGACACAGTTCTCCAGAGACACGAGTCCCTGAGCTCCGACACAGAGGTGGTATTGGAAAGATGTGCTATTTCTGCAGCATCTAGTGCCTCTGAGAAAAAAGTCTTGCAACTGATCCTCAGAAATTAGTGTTTTAAACTCCTCCCTTTTCTCTAGAGGAAGTTTTTCTATGAAATCAGTTAATTTATTAATTTTAGAATCTCTGTGTCATAATTTGATATTCCGAGGTATAGGCTTTCTGAAAAATAACTTAAATGAACAAATTAATTATTCTTTGCTATGATTTAAATCTTTTTCACTGCAACTGCTCCTACTAATGCTCAACTAAGTGAATAAAAACCTTTTTTTTTTTCCTCTTAAGACAACACCTAGCGTTCTTGTCTTTTCGGCCCAAATATTCTATTTGTTTATTAAAAGAACCACCATAAAACCCTGTTAGCCTCTAGAGCACCAGCCATCCTAAGAGAGTGTTTAGTAGTTGATGGGTTGGATTTTGAACTACCTCTTGTAATTTCTGAAAGAAATCAGTAATCGTCTTCTGTGAGTCCTGATACACCTCAGTACAGTGCCGTTTATTTCAGTGATGGCAATGAAACAGCTCTAAGTGCTGAGATTCTCTTTCCTAACAACCTACCTGAGGTATTTCGGACCATACAGGCTGGTGAACAAACACTGGTCTTCTGTCTATCAGAAGAATAAGGCATAGTAAGATACATCTTGGTCAGCAAACATGACACCATGAACTCCAGAGCAGGGAATAGCACGGATCCTGTGGGCTGAAGGCCACCCTGGTGATGATCTCTGCCCTCAGCACACAAGGGCAGATGCACCAGCTGCTGCATCACTTCCTGCCTCCTATATCTTGCATACCTCTCAAGGTTCCCTCTGACTTTCCTATTCCTCTAACGGCCAGCTACAACGAATCTCTGCACTACTCAGGAAAAAGATGGAGAAATCTAGGTTTGTGGAGGACACTCTGGGGACCAATCAGCTATAGCTAGAGCTACAAGTAGTTTATTGTAAGTAGGGACAAACTGACTGCCAATGCCTTGATTTGTCAGCTGTGCCAAAATTCGTCAGCTGTGCTGAAATTTTGTCAGCTGTTCATAGACAAATACCAAAAAAAAAAAAAAAAAAAAAAGGCAGCAGCAAGCAGCATGATCCAGCCTAATCTATTCGTAATGATTGAATGCATGGAGAATTTCAAAATACCCTGCCTGATTCAATTCAAGATGTCACCTCACTTAAACTTTTGTAAAATTCCACAAAGGAAGATCTAAAATGAGTCTGAAAAGTACCAACGCTTTTTACATTAATATTAAAGCTAATATCAGGCTTCCTCAGTGTCAAGCTATTCACAAACTTTTACAAGGCTGAATGCATGACCCAAATTTTAAATGTAGAGCTTGCTTTTCATCCATGTATCATTCTACTAGAAAACACGACAATCTTTATTTTGTTTCAGAAACGAAACATGGCAATTGTCTTTTATTCAATGACCCTAAGGCAGCTGCTTCCTCTGAAACAGATTTACCCAGCATTAATCCCTGGTTTTACACATTCTGAAGAATGTAAAAAACTCAGAAGGGAAGCTACCTTCTACATCCAATAATCCCCACATATCTTTTGCAACAGCAATGTGTACTCGATGCACTGCTGCCTTGCTGAATCTGCAGACACACAGACTGCAACAACAGCACCAAGTGAGATGTCAGCCTCCCGGACTATTAATTATGTCGTTGTCGATTGTTGTACCAGAAACATCCCTGCAACAGGCCTCAAAAGAGGGGCTAAATTGACTTGACTTGGTCCTAATATCCCATTCACTTGAAAGGATGCTGCAGAGGGTACAGCGATGCACATGCAATACTCCATTCATCCTTTAGTTATTTAAATAATTCAGGCATCCTTGGAAATTGTGGCAAAAATATAACAGTTCTTAAAGAATCAACAGTTATAACAAACATACCAGTTCTAAGTCCACGATCTGTGGGATAACTCAGGACTTGGGTTTTTCTCAAACACAAAAATTCATGTGTTCGCCACAGTAAAATAAGTGAATTTAGAATATAAAACATTATATTCCCATTTTATACTTGGAAAAAAACAAATTCTTCAGTTTCTAAAAGCAATAAACACTGTAATGCGCATTCGAGTAGGGTTGAAAAGCACACAAAGCATAGAGCAGACCAGAATATGATCTTATTCTGATTTTTCTGCTTTGGAAATTCTGGGCACATTTTCCAAGTTTTCTGTTCCAGACAGTCTGGACAGTTAAACAATGAGATGTGTAACGCCAGAGGATGAGTATTAACTTCAGGTTTCTTTACTGTACATTCAAGCATGTGATGAGAGAGGAAGAACAACAGAGAAGTAATGCTCAGATAAAGTCACTACGCTATTGTATAACCCTGTTGTTCTACCGAGCAACTTCTCAGACTACAAAAAAGAGGAAAAAAAAAACGTATGGCAGGACAATGCTTGGAATCTTCAGGTACAGAGGCTTCATTAAGGCTATTCTAAACAGTATAGTGGATACAAACCGAGGTCAGAAATCTGTCACTCAATTTTTGGCAGCATTAGCTGTGCCAGTTGGATCAAAGTTAGCTCGATGAATTATAGAACACTTAAATCACAAGGCTGTATCTTTGCAAAAGCATAAAATATTTTCATGCAAATTAGCCAATATAAATGTAAGAACTGACAAAGAGCATTGTGTCTTTTATAAAACTCAGATCTTGGAAGTAAGCAATTCTACAAGACCAAAGTCTTGCTTTTTTTTATTGAAAACACATTTTTAATGTTGCTGTAGATAAAAATCATAGAAACGTAAATGAGCAAGACATTAAAGATTTGGAGACCAGAAGGCAAACAAAAAAACCCCAAGATCTAGCTTGACATAAAAGATAATTGCTGATGGTTCATTTATGATTTCATGCTGATCCAAATTGGGTAAATTGTCCTACACAATCTATCCTTACATCCCACCAGCAGAGTCCTGCCACTGACACAACAACCAACATTTCTTTCAGCTACATCCATTTCTTTTTTACCCCCACCTAGACATCACATCTTAATTCCTTCAAAGTACCACTGCATAGGTTTTCATGCCTACAGCTATATTTCTTTCCCTTACAAATACAGTATTTTATCTATAAGTCTTGATACTTATTTATCAGTGCAAAATTAGCTAGCTCAAGACCTAAATTCAAATCTGGCATATGACCAATGAAAATACCATGGCAGATTTTTCAACCATTTTCATAGATTCTGTTGTCTACAATGATGTTTGCCTATTATTCAGCAGCACACGTGCTGTGAGGATCAAGGGATTTAAATTTATGAATTTTCATCAAAATTGTGTTGATCATAAACTTGAACACAATCTTAATTAAAACCACTAGAAAGACTTTGTATACATTTGATTATTTAGTATTTGTCACAGATTTTCTCATAGAGGTTGTTAAACCTTCTTCCATAGAAGCAACTGTAACAAAACAGACACCAGCAAAGGAACTGCTGTAAATTTGCCACGTGCTGCTTAATAAATGCTATAAATATGGGAAAGATCAGAACAGTTTTTAATGAGTATCGTGTTACAATGGCTAGGACTACAGCATAATATACAGGTGTCAGGTAACAGAAGAATCTACAGAATATCTGTACGATTATACAAAAAGTCAGTAGATTATAACATCACCTTCTATGGGATCCAACATTTTAAACCTGTTTCAGCATCCTCAAACTAATTCACCAGCAAAGGTGGAAGATTTAGGTGCTGTACTATAGGTGCTTATAGAAAAAGAGGGAGATTTAGAAGCAGCGTGTGGTTGTTCTACCAAAGAAACTTAGGGGCTTTCCTGCTCTCCCCACTTCCTTCTGCCCAGGCTTCAAGCAATTCCATTGACCCCTCTATTCTCATTCTTAAAACCTGATGCCAATCTAAGCCAGAGGAATACCAGTAGATGGCAAAAAGAGGTCCAGGCTGGTCCAATACCTGCAACTCAGTATCTCCTGGACTCAAGTCAGCCTCAGCAGAAAAGCTAAGCTTTAGACTATCAATATATAGTTATGTCACATTTCTAGATCATTATGAATACTTAGGTTCTTTCCATAAACTTTTTCATTTACAGAAACATCTCTCCTCCTTTCAGTTATTCTGAATCAGAGCTACATCCATTTTTTACATTTCTTTGTGATGAGAATTACTGCAGTGATCTAAAATTTGTGAAAAGATTTGACTTATTTATCTGCTTTGTAGATAAACACATTCTAGATGTCTCTCAGAAAGACTGTACTTTTCTGACATAAGTTTGATAGTGTAATTACCATACAGAAAGAATCATTTCTATTCACACAAAAGCATGCAAAAAGGACATTTGATGCACAACAGATTGTTGATTCTTTAACTCACAAAAGATTTTGCTTAAAGCAGGGGAGAGCTTTTGAAAGGACTGCCTCTGCTCTCTCAGCTGTGCAAACAGTTACCAGCTACTTAACCCCAGAGAGCAGGGCACTGCACCAACTGCTCTCTGCACCGCATGGAACAGAAGCAGCTCCAATGCTGAAGGCAGCTGCAGTATCTATAGATTACGAAACAGATTATAACAACAACAGAAACAGATGTCATTACCTATACAACACTTTTAACTGTTGATCAATCTCTTGAAGCTTAGACCAGTACCCACTTGCAAGCTTTTGGTATTCATTGATAATGAAGGTCTTCAAATCAGGATAGGGGCATTCCAAAGACAGTAGTGCTGAAGGAACTTCAAGGAAAAGTCCATTTTTCTCTTCAGAAGAATGCACTAACACCTGTGATGAAAAAATGCTACTCAGCAGACTACTCTGCATTGTGTTTTTTCCTCTCAAAAAATTGCTAATTAAACTTATAAGGAAAAGCTTACTTTTGTTTTATAGTCTTCAAGCTGTCTTTCCAAAGCCAGACTTTCAAGGAGAAGGAATTCCAAAATTGCCTCCTGCTGCTTCTTCACAAATTCAATCTATTTCATGAAACATGTTACTGTTACTTCTTTATCTTGTTGTAATATGAAAGTTCTTATTTAGAAACAGTCTGATTTCCAGTTCTACACTGCTATGCTTTACAGACTTTAGCAAAGCAGCTCTGCACTATGGCACGTACAGAAGTTACTGGATACTATGAACGTGAGTTATATTCTCAAAGTATTACATAAAAATAAACAAAAGCACTAAAAATACTGTGATAATAAACAGTAAAAATAAAGTTAAAATACCAACCTGCTGTAACATCTCAACCAGATTGAACTTAGATCTCAGACAAGATTCTTCTGAGAGGTAACACTGCATTTCGGACAGCCTGCAGTTGAAATTCTCTTTGAGTTGCCAGACAGGAACTACAGCTTTTGTTCGGTATGTATCCCGCTCCTTTGATAATTTATGCTCTAAATCCAAACAAAACGTAAAGCTTTCTCAAACACAGAAAATATTGCACAGCATTGTGCTTTCTAAATCTAAACCTGTCAAGACAGGGACTTAAAAACTCAAATAAATAATCAAGATAATACTGCCTATAATAAATAATCAAGAAATGAATAAAAAATTCTTACCCAAGTCCTTCATATCTGAAAAAAAGTTCTGCTTATGGCTTTCTTCATCAAGAAAAGACTTTATTTCTGCTTCTGCTTTTTGCCTGGAAGGTATGAATATGAGTTTTACAAAAGCTTTAAGTTCTTATTCATGAAGATTTCAAGAATGATAAACCTCAAATACTCAAACAATTGAGTAAAAAGGGGATTCCTTGCCTGGAAAATATGAAGTGTAGGACTTGGACATGAAGGTGGTATGGAAGCCACCCTCCTCTGAGCCAAAAACGCTCTCACTGATCCACTGTATATCCAACACACAAGCTAACAGACAGAACAATATCAGTGTTCTCCGTTGTAAGTGTGAACTCAACACGCATACCTAGAGACAGACTCTGAAGGGATTAAAAAGTGTCTGAAAACTTCTGATACTGCTACAAATACATGCTCTTCAGATGCTGACAGGTCAACTAAAGAGCTATGAGATCATCATGAAGAGGTACATGCAAAGCAACATCTACACTATTCTCCTCTCCCTTCACGTGTTCTCTTCGTGTCTGCAGACTCCTTTCCATGTAGACCACAAACTCATGTCCTGCACAAAAAGTTATCTTCAGCTCAGGTATTTTAATCTTTTCCACTTAATGTCCACACCAGAATCTCTCTGCTGAAGCATTTCTTTAACATTAGCTAATTAAGATTCCTCAGCTCTTACCTATTCTCACTCAGTCTTTTATGCTCTTGCCACCACACTTGCTGATGCTGTTTCAGCAGCATTTGCTCTTTGTTAATTTTTGAAACTTGCTCTGTTTTTTTAATCTGCAGGAAAAGTTAAAGCCTGTTAAGTATTCTGAATCTGTTCAATACTTCTCAAATGCCTTTACATGAAAACTTTTAACTACAGAATGGTGAACCTAAAAGTTTTTTCCAAAACTGTTTTTCTAAAGAACAACAGGTTCAAATGTAACCAATTTTCATGAAAAACAGTTATTCCATTTCAAATCACAATTAAATGAGAGGTGAAAGTGAAAATATGCAATCTGTTTTCTTCTTTCCTTTTTTCTCCTTTTGCTTCCCATCTCTATTTCCCAGGAGGCGAAGGAGGGAAGATGAGCAGGAAAAAGAAAAACACACTTACTTAGAGGTGGGAAGATGAAAGAGCGAAAGTGTGTCTTTCAAGGAAAAGAATTTCAAAAATTGATTACTAAAAAAGACTGCTTTTTCAAAATCTACCCAATTAAAGAGGCTCTGAAACTGTCTGAGGGCTTCACAAAAAAATTGCTTCCAATTTCAGATAAAATAGAAATACCTACGCTCGAGATAGATGGAGTTGCTTAAAGTAGAGGAAACGCCATCAGGGAAAGGCTGATGAAGTGGTAGCCAGATGACTGGCCAACCAACAAAGAAAAAGGATCAGAAGTCTGTGGCTGGCAACAAGTCAGTTTGCCCTCATCGTCCAGCCACCAGGACTGTCTTCTGCCCTCTCAGCGATACTCAGGACAAAGCAGCGTTGGTCAGAATCGTTCAGAGCTCAGAACTGGCTCCTTTCCTGCTCTTTCTCTTTTTTCCGCTTAGCCACCACCTGCCCCTGTAACCCCAGACCTCATCCCTGCCTCAGCCAACTTCTAGTTGCAAAACCCCCTCTGATTCCAGAGGCTCCTACAACTCACACTCCACATCCTCCTCCTGCTCCTGTTTGTGGGGTTTTTTTTGTTTGGGGTTTTTTTTTGTGTGTGTTTTTTTGGTTTGGTTTTTTTGTTTGTTTGTTTCTTTCTTTGTTTTTTCCTCCCAGACCTTCCTTCATGCAGATACATTACTCTACTGCAGAATGGTACCAAGACAAGCAAAAACTTTTGGAAAGTTGTTCTAGTTCATAACAGGGAGAAACGAATGAAGATCTCGCTCCACATCTAGTTCAGGAAAGAGATGAGGTTCTGAGCCAAAGACGCTGGCTTTTCGGCTCTTCGGGTAGAAGTAATCTGCTCTGTTAAACGCTTGGTCAGCTTTCCTGCCCGGTGAAACCTGGACAAACCCACACGTTACCCCTCTGCGTTCACGTGCACAAGAACACGGAGAGCAAAGCCCCTCACAGGCATGTTCTCCACCCGCCGGCCGGGCAGGGGCACCGGCAGGCTGCTCACAGAGGAAAGCTGTAGAACTTTTCGTTGCAGCACTCGCGCAGGTAAGCAAAAATCCCATCACTTCTAGCCCTACATTTACCTTTTGTGGCTATAAAACCCTTTTATAATTTTCTTTTCAAGATCTATCTCAGCTTGACTTTTGGAAATCCTCACTTCATATCTTTTTGTTTTGTTTTCTCTCAGGATCAATCTCTCCATTTATTCCCATAAATTCTTCCTTACTCTCAGTATTTTGAGTAGTTTATGTAATGAGTCTGGATTAATTTCCTCAAAAGCACTTGAATTCAAACTTTTCCTGTCTTTTTGGGAAGCAGAACCCACATATATTTTGCATCTCTGCAAAGAAATTCCACACTGACCTTAACGTGTCCAAATCACAATAACGCTGTGATAAACTCTCATCTTTTCCCCGTTTGCTGAACGCTGTTAGCAGCAATTTGTTACCCTTATTCATTCTCAGGTTCCTTGGGGCAGTGAAAAGAAATACAATCACCGAATCTTAAAATAATTCACATTAAAATAATATAAAAATCATACCTTTAACTGAATTTTTGCAGATGCAACTTTTTCTTCTGCAGCAAGTTCATACAGATGTTTGTAGTCAACAGGTTTATACTTCTGGCTGCAAAGGCCCTTTCTCATAGGAATCACCAGATTTTCTAGTTATCACATAAAACACACACTGTCATTTCAAATTCTGGAGAAATATTTTAATCGTGAGTCATAAAATGAAAGCATTATAGAATGAAATTAGAAACAGTATATTTTAAACATTGGAAATTTCCATAACAAAGAGATTGTTAGATGGTGAATAAAAATTTGAAACAAACATAAGCTAGTAGAACTTCCTAATAATGGTAATGTCCACCATTTCATGCTCACTTTAATCCAAAGCATATTTGTATACAATTAAAACTGGGTGAGCCAAGGACTGAGAAGACCAGCAGTCATATCAGAACAAATCCAGGAAACCAAGGCTGCAAGTCCTGTCTGAACAAGATTTGTCAACAGAAGAGAGAAGCACACTCAAGGTAACCTCAGATACGTAGCTGCCCAATATTAATCGACAGATTTTCCTGGCTTATCGGCCTGCACCAGACTCCCATCAAAACAGAACTCCATCTTTCTTCCCCTCTAATCATCATTTACAGTTTTCACAGGCAATCCCTTTGCAGTTTCCACTCTCTGAACTTGAGAGGATACACCACCTACACAGGGGAAGGCTTCCTCCTTTCTTCCTGCTTGTCAATCCTGCATTCTTTGCCACTAATATTCCCAACATGTAAATTATTACAACAAATCAAATCAAATAATTGTAATAATTGTAAATCATTGCAACAAATCAAATCAAAGGTTATAGCTTTGATCTTGTACTATGACTGCTTTTTTATTCTCTATATACCTTACATAAAAAACGTTCAGTAGTTTGATCCACTAATTTCTTCCATTTTATCCCTCCTATGAGTTTAGTATGAATAATCTCCTTTCTGTCAGTTTTCAGGCCTTTAGGTAGCTTTGTTCATTGCAGGCTTTTATTCCCATCAATCCAAATTTAAAGTTGTCATCCCTAAGTCAGCAAGATTTTATGCGAAGATTTTTCTGCCTTCTTTTTGAGATTCCTTACAATATTGTCCAGCAGAGATCGTGGAACATCATTTCACATTCAAAGAAGTGAAAGTTCTGTCGCCAAACGCTCTGAAAAGCCACTCATTCTGTTCTCCTTCCTAAGCCTATTACTCCTTCATTACAGTTCCCAAAGGCTTACAATCTCTTCCAGTTTGCTAGGAGTCATTTCGGGCACTAACGTCAGTGTCCACACATAGGAGCAGCAGAGCAATTCCATAATATCTCTAATTCAGGCTCCCTGCAGGCAAATGCCTGGGAGATAAGTTAACAGATGCATCCTGTCATATTCCTTAGAAAAGGATCAGTAACTGCTACTAGTACTACAAAATGACATTAACTACTGCGAGAAGTCACTAAGCACAACTCCTTTGTATGGTGCTTGTGAATATCGTGGTCTTTTAAAAGCAAAATAGTGTGATGCTCCAGCATCAGCGATCCCCAGTTAATTCCAGGATAGCATACTATGGTGCAGGTAAGTGTTAGAACAAAGGTAGGACACTGTCATCTTCCAGAGGAGATAGAGATCTAAATGTATCCCTGCAGTGCCTGTTGCAGCTGCTGCAGAGACCTCTAAGTACCTCGCACCAATGCTTTTGGAAGTGACACACATCCTCCGCAGACGCGTTGACAGAGTCCTCATGCTACAGCCAGCTTTAGCCTCGTCACTCCAACTTCTGATTCCTGATCCGACGGAGTTCCCAAACCAGTTCACCAGCACAGATCTCTCACACCACTTGTTCTAAACTGTGGTACAGATATCCAGGGGTAGGAAGCCTATCTGGGTATGGCACTCGAAAGGTTGCAACGTCCTGACCAGTCTTCTTTGGTCTATGGCAGCGTTGTCACCTCCTGAAACCACTCTCTGAAATTACAGCTTGCTGTCCCTTTTTGACAGCTCTCGCTCACCACTGCCTTTCAGACTGCTTTCTCTACGCCAGCTTTATTCCCCGACACAGTATAGCAAGGATAAGAGACATGATCAAAAAACAAATCCATGTAATCTTTCTGCACCCTTTCTTTCTCACAATATAAAATAAGAGGAGAGTTGACAACAACAAGCATGGAAAAAACAGGATGAAAAATGTAAACGTGTATACCGACGCACAGGAAGCATTAACAACTACAGTGCAGAAAACGGCTAGGAAGGGAGAATGAACCCCCCCACTGAATGAAGAGATGAAGAGAACAAGGAATGCTGTAAGATAACAGGGAGAAGCAGTTTTTCTCTGGCTGGGTCGTCTTCATTAGTTCTAGCCACAGAAAAACATATCCGAAAACAGTGAATAAGCAGAGAGAACCTATTTACTTATAAAGGTTAAATTTGGTGGTACCTAGATTAAAAAAGTTGTTACTATGATGGGTTTCTAAACAAAAAAGCTTGGGGCAATGTTTGGAAGCCTTAGAGTTGTCTCTGAAAGTCCCTAATTTAATTTAGCAACATAATCTCATATTTTCTGTACTCTTAAAAAAGTTTTGTGTAAAACAAAAATATACATAGCTACACATAGAACGAACGTAAGAAAGATTAGATACCTGAGGTACTTCCTCAGGTAACTCATCTTCACTAACTTAGTAATGTCCCTTACATCTAAGAAAAGATTGAGGAGGAGTGAAAGACAGGCTCAACTTCCAAAACTCTAACCCCAAATAATTTAACTTTCTTTTCTTTCAACATGCTTTTTCCTTTAGCCTGTATATCTGAACCTTATGGATCTCTGCTACTGATCTCTGTTTCTTCTGCTACTGAGGACTCTATTCAGAGGAATTTTCTGAAGTCAATAGGGTCCTATCCATGTGAGATTAAGTCCAAAATCAGGGTCTTGGCATATAGGATGCAAAGATCGTATTTAATAGGTAATGTACTGACTGTGCCTTAAATTTAACAAAGAAAATAAATTTTATATATTTTTATATGTAGTATACATCAACAAATATATACACACATAAATAAAAATCTAAAATATTAAACTTTTAGATTTTAAATTGTCTTCTCACAATTTTCTATGACAAATATTTGCTAAAGCCTGAGATACAATTATAATGGTAAAGGAAAATACTTGAACTTTTGCCCCAGTACTGTAAAGCTTTAGTGCACAGATCCTCAGTAACTTCCCAAAAAGCTCGGAAGCTTACAGGGATAAGAAATGGGCCTTTTCTTTCCAACCTCTTGCTTAGTGAAACTTGCCATTAGGTATTAGTGGAAAGATTTTTTCCCACTCACTATTAAAAGCAGAGTGGGTGGAATCAATAGGTCTGACACACCGTTTTGCAGAGAGGTCTCGTATAAAATGTTCGGGTAACTCCTCCAAAGCTCTCCCGTGATCCAAGCCTCTGCTAAGGATTTTCATTTGCCACGTGCTTACAGAAGGTTTCACAACACGTCTCCAGATGATGCCTCATTGTCGAAAGATTTTTTTCAAGTCAACTACCAGGGCAGTCCCCAGTATCAGTACAGACTGGGCATTGGACGGATGGTGAGCAGCCCTGCAGAGAAGGACTTGGGGATCCTGGTGGATGAAAAATTGGACATGAGCTGGCAATGTGCGCTTGTGGCGCAGAAGACCAATCATATCCTGGGCTGCATGAAAAGGAGGTCGAGAGAGGTGATTCTGCCCCTCTGTCGTGCTCTCATCAGACCCTTCGTGGAGCACTACGTCAAGCTCTGGAGTCCCCAGTACGAGAAAGACATGGACCTGTTGGAATGGGCCCAGAGAAGACCATGGAAATGGTCAGAAGGCTGGAACACTTCTCCTGTGAATAAACACTGAGACAGCCTGGAGAAGAGGAGGCTTCAGAGAGACCCTCTTGCTGTCTTTCAGTATATAAAGGGGCTTATGAGAAAAACAGAGAAACACTTTTTACCAGGGCCTGTAGTGACAGGACAAGGGGCAATGGTTTTAAACTGGAAGAGGGCAAATTTAGACTGGATATAAGGAAGAAATTTTTTACAACAAGGGTGGTGAGACACTGTAACAGTTTGCCCTTAGAAGCTGTGGATGCCCCATCATTGCAAGTGTTCGAGCACAGGTTGGACAGGGCTTTGAGCAACCTGGTGTAGTGGAGAGTGTCCCTGCCCACGGCAGGGGGGTTGGACTAGATGGTCTTGAAGGGCTCTTCCAACCCAAACCATTCAATGATGCTACGATCAGAACGCTATAGTAGCTTCCGTATGCAGCTATTAATTGCACAGAGTATTTCATAAGTAGTTTTATTCTAGACTGTGATAAAACAACTAAATTTGAACATGACAGTATACATACCTACGTCACTAATCCTATGAGTTGCAAAGAATGGTCCGTGGTCCAGTTCACCCATTTTTAATTTTTATGTACTTTTTATACCTGTTGAGAAGCAAACAGATGTTTTGAGAATACCAACATTGTGGATGCAATTTAAAAAACATATTCAAATAGTAATGTTTTCTGAGAGGAAAGGGCACATCTCACTAAAAATGTCATTAGAAAGAAATTCCACAAGTTCATCTTTCATTTTAAGAGAAGTTTCCATGTGCCTCATATCATTTAGCAGCTAAGAAAAAGAAAAAACAAAATATTATTTCCTTGATGAATCTGTAATGCTCTCACGTAGATCACCTATTCTTTGCTTTGTGCTTTTCAAAATATAACAATCCTATTGACCCAAATGTAGGGTAAGTTTTGAGGTGTTCTTTGCTTCAAAACTTCAAAACTAAGGCTGAAAAGATCAGTCTTCCTATATTTAGAGACTGTAGTTTATGTATAGATCCCTACCCACCCCCTTCAAGAGTCTCTGTATTAACACTTGTCAGCCTAAATCAGCTGTTTCAGCAGCAGCGGCTTAGCTCCTGATGAGCAACTATGACAGGCAGCATGTACCAAGCATTCACACCATCTTGGGATAAACTTGACATTTAAGATGCAATGAGATATAAAACATAGCAAAAACCTTTGATGTTTTCAGAAATCTAACTTTCACCTTAATTAAGCATGCATGGGCACCACCACAGGTCTCACACGCAAAGAAAAGCAATAGATCAAAACAAGGTGTTCCAGTGGAGCTAAATAATGCCAGAAGGGGAAGGTCATGTTCAACCAGCCTCCCCACAAACCCTCTCCCTCAAATCCAGCTCTACTGCACCAAAATCTCCTAGACACAAAATTCCATCCACTTTGTCACACCTTTGGCATTTTTCTGGTCCCACAGCAAGTAGCAAGACAGTAAACAGCAGTCTGGCAAAATCTGTCAATTTGTGTATTCTGGAGTTATTTCACTGCTGTTCCAGTGAGTTGAACCAGTTTATCCATACAAATTCCAAGGATGGCACAATGCAACAAGGAGGAGGGAAGGAAGAGCAGCAGAAGTAATAGAAACTACTCTGACAGAGAACTATTAATTTCAGTCAAATAAGAATGTGAGCCTGCAACCAAAGATACTTAGCCTTGTACTTTCCCGTGAGCCGTGTTTCTCCATGACATTGCAGAATCATCAAAACCAGCTAAAATGTAAAAATCAGACCTAGATGGACAAGTTTCATGAATGAGCTTGCACTACTGCTGCAAACAAATGGTAAGTGCAGTTGAAATTACAGCCACCACAGTACATGTGCAAACACACACACTCCTGTTCCTGTGGCTCAGTCAGTTTGAC